TATTATTTTATATATATATATTATTTATATTATTAGAAATAAAATATATTAAATTGAAATAAAAGTATGACTATAAAGAGTTGAAAAGTAATAAATTAATACAATTACATTAAGAAAAATAGTTAAAAATTACCAAATAAATAAGCAACGGTTGTTATGATATTAACAACATAAGTTGTTAAATTAACATGGTTTCATATTAAAAACGAATTAAATTTGAAAAAAACATTTTATTTATTATGTTTAATTTTAAATAAATAAATATATATATATTTATTTAGTTAAATAAAAATAATTAGTTAACATTATTTATTTAACAAATTGACCAAATTTAATATTCTTTGTAAAAATTATTAAGATAATTACTTGGTATAAAAATGACTAAACTTAATAAGTTATTGTAGAATTATTTTGTATTTTAATTTTTAAAAATTTTAAAATAAATCAAATTTTATAATTAATAATTGTACTTTATTATTTTAAATTTTTGAATAATTTGATTCTAAGTTTTAAAATTAAGATTTGAAATTTTCACACTATTAAAATTGAAATAAAATTTTGTGTTGGGCATAATTTAAATTTGACTTTTGAATAGTTATTTTAAAATTAAAATTGTTGAAAAAATAATGATGAAAAATAGAAATCATTGTTAAAAAGGACTAAACTTACATACATAGTTAAGTAAATGTATAAAACAATTAATTGTTAGAAGTTATAGTTAATTATTATTTTGTCTTTAGTATGCAAAATACCAACTATTGATAAATACCCATAAAAATACCAACAATAATGAAGATTCAGAAGAGAGGAATAATACAAACCTTACGGCCGTGGATCCGGAGTTGATAAAGCCTAATTTCGTTTGCCTTCAAGAAATCGGATGTGGACTCTGGATACGGTTCAAAACACAAACAAACATTAGGCTTTTAAGTTAAGTGTAAATTACATTTATATCCATTAAAGTTTTAGGAAATTGTATATATACTTTGTTGAATTGTTTAAAAAATAGTATATTAATTAAGTCACACATTACTTAAACCTATGTTATTTGTTTAATTATTTTAAAAATATGACATTATATCATTAATATAAAAAAAAAAAGATGTACAATTTTTCAATAAATAACTTTGTCTCTTTCCAATTGATTGTTTGGAGACACTTTTGCATGCACTAAAGAAGGCAACAAAACACAAAAAGAATGTAGTAGAAAAACAATGAAGATGAGATTGAAAGAATGCACCAGAGTAACTCTTTAGGAGCTATAATTACTGAAAAATTAAGTTTTCCATAAAAAATGAAGACGAACTGGTAGATGATGAAACTGCATAATCCCAACAAATCTCAAAATGATTACACAGTATGTTAACAATCCCTAATCTACACTAACACTCTATAATTCACAGATTTTCACGAAAAATCACAAAAGAATCATACAGACAATAACCTGCAAAACAAATTGTAAAAGTAACAAAATATCATTTTGAGTCCGTACATGCGATGATTTTGTACTTAAAAAAAGTAAAAATAAAATCATAAAATGCGAATATATAATAGTTATGAAAATCATATAATCTATTAAATATTTTTTTACAGCTGCACATCATGAAAGGGATCGTATCATCCTCTACGAAAATATAGGACCGAAAAATAGATAGGCCAAAAAAAAAATTTATAATAAAATAAAGTGATGTAGCAAATTTAAATTCAGGTAGCGAAAATTGAAGTAAATGAATGAGTGAATTTACACACAAATGAAACAAAACCAAAGACTAAATGTGACTTTCTCTGTCATGTGTATGAATGCACTTGTGAACCACAAATTTACATGCACTTTAAAAAAACTATTTATTATAACATGGAAGCACCAACAATAAATTTAAACAAAATAAAAACACTGTATGTGCTTTTATTATCACAAACACAGAGACAGAGGGGTAAAAACCTTATGGTGGAAACGGTGCGTTTCACGTTTGAATCATCCGGGAATTGAAATAGTCAACCTTATAAACCCCAAAGACGTACTTAAAAATAGAGATAGATTTTTATGTAGTAAGGCGGAGAAGAGCACAAATTTCATTGAAGTAACGCGTTCATAATTAACGAATTAGGGTCCCATTCACGGTACTAAATTGGTTTTCTATCATTTTTTTTCTACTTTTTATTCCGTTAATATTTTCTATTATTTATATTTGGCATATAAGAAAGATTTTAAATAAAAGTCACCATTGAGAATATCTTCATGATTCACGTTAAATTTCAAAACTTTTCTTTAATTTGATTTAACAACCATAATATGCACCATTAAATAATAAGAATTAATTTTTTATAATGAAATTAATTACATACGTTTATTTAATTAATAAACTGAATGTATTTATCGAGTTTAGTTTTTTTTTACAATTCTTTTTTTTGGTGTATTATTTTTACAAAGAATTTAATTTTCCTCAAGTTATTAAAAATGTAAATTTCAAATATATCTATTTTCTAAATTTATTTTTTCCCTTTAAAATTATAAGATGTGACTTTGGAGGAGATAAGTTTAATTTTAGTACGAAGATTTTTAAAATGTCATCTAATTAGAAATTATCGTCAGCATGACAATCTAATATATTAGTGGATGATATTGTTAAAAAAGAAAAATCTTAACACTTTTAATGTGTTTAATTAAATTCTAAAAATTTAAAGTTTTATCATATATGACATAATGACAATGGTGATTGTATGAGTGTAAAAAAAAACTCTATACTATCATAGCATTGTAATTAAGGTTTTAATATATATATATATATATATATATGAAAAATGTGTTTAAGATTAAGTATAAAAAAAATACAATAAAAGCTTATACTAAATTTAGTATTATTAAATTAAAAATTTTCTATTATAACATCTTCTCACTCGACTAGAGTTTTACTAATTTTTTTTCAGAAACATAATTTTTTACCTAACTAAATTCTATTTAATTTGACGACAAAAATTATGGCTTAAAATTAAGATTATATGTATATATAGCTCTAAGAAAATATATAAATAATAATATATTTACAAAAATAATATTTGGAGAAATATATGTTTGTATAAATTAAAATGATATAAGACATGTGAATATAAAATTATTTCTATATATATTTAAATATATATTCTAGTATATTATATAAAATCAAAATATATTAAAATCAAAATAATATAAAAAAATTAACATTATAACTTAACACAATTTAAAACACATGTTATAACATTAACATTTATAATGGCAGAGAAAGAAAATAATATATATAAGATTCTAAATTTAAACATTAACATTTATAGTGGTGTCACTAACCTAGTGCGAGATTGGTGCAACAAAAACCCTTCTCTGTTCAAAACTGTTATGTAAATTTATTTTGTTTTTTCAGTGATTAAGGCACGGTGTAAATTTTATTGAACGAAGGTGTTGCTACAATGAATGCTTCGGAGAAAGAAGACACTGAGATTGATGCAACGAAAATCCTATCCAACAGTGAGAATGCTAAGTTGAAGAAGAAGAAGAAGAAGAAAGTGGCATTGAATGATGCAGATAAGTGCGGTGTGTGCTATTTGAGTCGAATCCCCCCTCACATGGACCATGTCAAGCTTCGCCACATTCTCTCTCAGTTCGGAGACATTCAGAGAATTTTTCTCGCTCTTCAAGGTCTCCCCTCTCTCTTTCTCAAATCTTCGTACTACTCTTTTATTTTCAGGCAAGCTTGATTTTAGTGTGTTTAGACAAATGTTTTTTTAATTTATTTTTATTAAATTTTAACATTTATTTTGACACTAATATTTAAAATTTTAATAGGTAGAATTGCTTGGCATCTCCGCATGTTTGAAGTCAATGTTTATTTTTTATTAAGAAATTTACGGTCAACAGGTTAGAAATCAATTTAGACTTGAAAGTTTAGGGTATGTTGAGCTCTCAACAAAAAAAATAATAAGGAAAAATGAAATATGATTCTTTGAGTTAAAACTAGCTTATACTGGGGAAGCTAATGTAATATGAGAATTTTTACAAATTTACTTATGTATAAGTTAATTTTAGCTTTTGGGGAAGTTTATTCTAGTTTTTTTAATTCAAATTTTCTTCTACTATAAGTGTTTTTAGAGATGTAGGTTATGCAAACTGAATCTTAATATATCACCTTAGATGTGACTTTGGAGGAGATAAGTTTAATTTTAGTACGAAGATTTTTAAAATGTCATCTAATTAGAAATTATCGTCAGCATGACAATCTAATATATTAGTGGATGATATTGTTAAAAAAGAAAAATCTTAACACTTTTAATGTGTTTAATTAAATTCTAAAAATTTAAAGTTTTATCATATATGACATAATGACAATGGTGATTGTATGAGTGTAAAAAAAAACTCTATACTATCATAGCATTGTAATTAAGGTTTTAAAGGTATATACTATTTGCTTATTTTGAGTTTTGTTATGGTTGAGATTTTTTTATTATTTGAATTTATCAGATCCTAATTAAATTTGATAAAAAAAATATTTTTTCTAATTTTTTTAAAAAAGAAGGGTATAATGATCCAAAAATTGTGGAGACCAAAGTAGTTACTAAAAAGGATATTCCCTTTATGTATTAGTATAGTTAGTATAGATAATATAGATTTATAAATTACAAATACAAAGTAGCAAGACACATAAAGGATCAAAGTAGGAATGGAAAAGAAACAATAAAGGATCAATATTTTGAAATAATTTAATGAATACCCATTGTAGAAATAAATTATTTTAAAACAAAGATTAAGCATTCATAAAAAAAATGACAGAAAACATGACTGGACTGACCAGAAACAAATGAACTTGGTGAATTGCAAGAATTTGTCAATTAGGTGTCGGTTACTAAAAATTAAAAAATAAGAAATAATTAAAGAATCACAGTCAAAGTTGTGTACTTGGATAGCCAACACAGAAAGTGCCGCTATAGGAAGCAGAGTGCCTGCATAAAGAAGTCTAATGAAAACCGTAATACAGAGACCGGAGAATCATAAATGTAAATATTAGTTTGAATGGTTCGTTTATTGATATAATTCCCAAAAGTTTGGGCATTTCATCAAATAGGTGGTACGCAAGTGTGCATATTCATTTAATCCTCAAAAGCCATACAATTAGTCACCGTAGAGGGAATCAGCTATCATTAAACATGATAAATGAAGACGTAGTTAGTCATACATATATTTTGGTAAAAATTATAGAGAAAACAATTAAAAATTTAACATATAATAAATTATAGAATTACGAATATTGAAGTTTATTATTGTAGATTATAATTAAGATGAAGATTATAATTTAAATAAGAGGTTGAATACGTGATAAGAGGAGAGAGTAACAGTGTTGAGGTCCGATTTTTGGATAAAATCTTATATCCAAAAAATAAAATCCTCATAAACAATTTAAATAAAAAAATCCACTATAGAAATAAAAATTCAACTAAATTAATAAATAAATCGTCTAAAAATGGTTAATATGAGACAAATATCATAAGTGAATTTGAAAAAATCGGATCCAATTTTTTTAACTGAAATTAATTCTACCTTAATAAATGAAAATAACACTGTAATAATCATCCAACTTCCATAATAGAATCAAACTCCAACAAATTTGCCTTAAACAACTACAATATCTCATTTTCACCTTCAAGTATAAGCAAGTGTCCACCTTTTTTTTATAATTTACAAAAATAAACATTCATTTATATTATTGATTAATGTCTGTAATTGAAAAAATAAAAATAAAAAAAAGTTAAAACTATTTAACAAAGCTAGAAGAGAGAAGGATTTAAAGTCTATAGAATAAAAAAAAGTGAGAGAATGCTACTATTCATTAATATAACTTAAGCTTATCTTTTAAGTTAAGTTTTTTTTAAACCAAAATTTAATATTTCACTCTCCTCTCCACTTTCACTTCTGTTCAGCCACTCCAAGGAAGGAGAAAAATATTTTCTCTTCATCTTTCCCATTTCTCCTTCTTCTCTAGAGCTCTTCTTCTTGTTCTACTCAAACTCAAGGTAAACAACTTAGTTTTTTAACTTCCTACTTCATCTTCCTTTGATTTTCTTCTTCTATTTCTCTTTTAATTTACCTCAAGCTTGTTCTCCTTAGGAGAAATTGTGTAGAAGCTTGTTTTTTTCATTCCATCATGAGAAAAGTTTCATTAAGTTAAGGAGATTTGATCCCAACCGTTGAACTCTTGCTTGTTGTAGTTTCCTTTGATCTTGAAAAATGGAATCTGTCAAAAAATTTATGAATGCCCTGTTCTAGTCTGCACTGGTATACTAGTTATTTTCAATTTTTTTATGTCAAAAATGGATTCATTGGGTATGAAAACCTAGGGTTTGATTCAAATATCATTCAAAACAGAGTTTTCTAGCAAAAGATACGATTAAAACAAGTTTTTATCACTTTCGTAAAATCTTCTTTTTTTTAGCACAGAATGTTATAATTCTTTGAGATGATAACCTTGTGCTAACATAGTTTCTAGTGTTTTAAATGTTCTTACCAAGTGTGAAAATGTATGTTTACTTATTTATTTTGTGAAAAACTGATGTATGAGTAATTTAGCACTTATAATCAAGTTTTGACACTTTTGATACACTTGTTTTGTTTTTTGTAGTTGGTTTTTAAGATGATTTAATTTCACTATTTTGACCTTAAAAATGAATTTATTTATGAATTTTCTATGCTTTGTATGGTTTGAAGAACCACGACGTATATTATTTTATAATTTAAAATTTATGATTATGATATGAAGTATTTACTTTCGAACTTAGGATAGTTTTCAAATTGATAAGACCATCAGAGTGAAACTCTAACAATTTAACTACAACATGCAAATTTATTTCTTGAATATATTGGATTGTGAGGTTAGCTGAGTCTGAGGGTGTCTGACCTTCGACATATTGGTTAGAATGATATTGTAATGCAAGGACATTGCTTGGTAGATCTGAATTATTTGGAATATATGAATATACATCCATTATGTCATCTGTCTGTTTATGTGGCTTTTCTTGTATTTTAGTTTCTTTTGAACGCTAATATGCTATAAATGTTTTGTATTATTTTCTTTCAATTGGTTTAATGATTACGAAGATTTTTAAAATGTCATCTAATTAGAAATTATCGTCAGCATGACAATCTAATATATTAGTGGATGATATTGTTAAAAAAGAAAAATCTTAACACTTTTAATGTGTTTAATTAAATTCTAAAAATTTAAAGTTTTATCATATATGACATAATGACAATGGTGATTGTATGAGTGTAAAAAAAAACTCTATACTATCATAGCATTGTAATTAAGGTTTTAAAGGTATATACTATTTGCTTATTTTGAGTTTTGTTATGGTTGAGATTTTTTTATTATTTGAATTTATCAGATCCTAATGCCCAAGTGTGTGCTAAGCGGTCCCGTGGATCCCGTGACCAAGCATACTCAGAATGGTATTGATTTAATTTTATTTGTTTTTGACTTTTGATTGAAGTTTTTCAAATGGTTACTAAATTTTTTTGTTGTTGGTAGTATTTGAATTTTTTTATAATTGGATTTTTCTGTGTGACTGTGTAGATGGGTTGAATTTGGTAATAAAAGTGTTGCTAAGAGGGTTGCCAATATGCTAAATGGTGAACAAATAGGTATGTGTTTGAACCTTGTATTATTGTATGATGTCCATTGCTCTTTGTTCTTCATTTTTAAATGAAAATTGTCATGTTCTCTCCTAGATTCTAGAATATTAGTATATCTCGTGCATTGTCCATTTCTATTCTTGTATGAATTTTGTGAAAAAGTATGATAAGGTATTTACTTGTAGTAGCAAGATTATATATTTGTAGTGGCAACATCGGTTGCTGTTTCTTATCCAATATTTTAATGGGAATTGTAATGTTGTCCTGTAAACTCCAGGATTTTGTTTTTATTCTTTAGATATGGTGTTCATATTGATTTCTGCTTGATGTAGCAGGGTATTCATGTTTTCTGCCTGTATTGAAAGATCGGAAAATAATTGAAATTAAAGAAAGAAAGAAAGCAAAAAATCAAAAAACCTACCGGCCCAGTCTGCAATACATTTTAAAATTGAAATTACATCAAAACCTATGGACAATATCCTCTCTAGTAGGAAAGGAAGTTTCTGAGAAAGGAATGACAGTTCAAAATATGAGGATTGAGAAATTATAACAACAAATATCAAGGTAATGTGCGTCCAAAATCAAGTTATACAAAAATGAAGAACTGAAAGCAATGTGTTAAATAAAAGTACAACGAAACACTTGATAAATAATTAGAATCAAAATTTATATTAAAAACCACTGTCATTACCAAAAAATTTAGGAAAAGAGAAAGATATAGAAGAGAATGTAAGCTAGAAAACAGAAATAGAAAAAAAAACCCAAAAAGGAAATAAAGTAATGTGATGCATAGTAACAATTATAAACATGATTAATCCAAGTTTAAAACTTTAAAAAGTGTGATGCAATTACATTCAATAAAAATCAAAGAGAAAAGTAGTTAAAAATTGTTGAAATTATCGTTACTTAATTTGTTTTGTTGGAGAGAAGATGAAACAAATTTTTTTAAAATTTGACAGTAGTTTAATTTACTTTATTTTAAAAAAAATAGTTTAACTTTATTGTGTGTTTTTGTAATGTTCTTACTATTTTATCCTTTAACAGACTAAAAAAGAATCGATTTATAATAAATTTTAAGGACAAAAAATTTGAGATAAATGTGGAAACAAAAGGAATAATTCTTTTTTATCTATTGTTATAGATTTGATGCAAGAAGAGCAAGTATGGTGTCGGAGACAAAAAAAAAGAATGGATGTGAATAAGAAGTTTAATTTTTCGTGTTGCCTACACTTCCATTTGTAGAGAATGTTAGGTTGAATTTTTTACATATATGTGTATAAAACATAGGACCCTATAATCATTTTCGGTACGCTATATATAAATATTTCTGGAACATTCCAATGCTTTTGCTGGTTGCATATGAATTAACAATTTAGATGAAACCCTATATTTGTTCCTTCAATGATAAAGGTAAGCCCTTTAAAAGTTAGTTGAATTAAAAGGGAATAATATTATTTCGAAGAAAGTGAACAATACAAAGCTTTAAGCAACAATACAATATATATATAGGCCAGTGTAAATATGAAACTGTCCTTGTAATAGAATAATTTACATAACTTACAATGATTACGAAGGAGACGGTTGGCGGTGCAGTGGAATTCTGACCAGATTAATTTGATGGGTGTAAGAAATTAACTGGGAACACCCCTTGTAACAGTGAAAGATCCACCTTCGTTGGCAGTGATGTGGAATTATGAATATGCCAAATGGTTGAAATCGGGAAAGAAAGAAATTTTTGTTTGAGAGATTGAAAACAGGCTACGCTGATTTGTGAAACGAAATAATAAAGACCAAAGATTATTTATCCAGTTAAAGAGAGATGGTTGTGCAGTTTTTTTGAAGAGAAAATAACTATCTTTCATTCAGTTATATGAAGGGACAAATTTGGATAATGAAAATTTGAAAAAATTTGAGGCACAATGGTGGGAGTGGATTGTGGATAATGAAAATTGGAAAAAATTTTGAATTTTGAGGCATGATGGTGGGAGTGGATAATGAAAATTGGAAAAAATTTGAGGCACTGGAAGAAATTTGAGGCAGGCACGATGGTGGTAGTTTTTTTGGTGGCAGTTTTTTTTTCATTCAAAGGATAAAAGTGGTAATTACATCAGCAATTAAAAGATAAAAATGACTTTAAAAATGTGAAAACCAAACCACTGTATTCCCTTTATCTATTGTTATAGATTTATCTATTGTTATAGATTTATCTATTGTTATAGATTTATCTATTGTTATAGATACATATGCCTTTGTTCCTCTGTGGAAGTATCTAAAACTTTATTGGAGTTTGTCAATGATAAAGGGAATTGGGAGGTGGACCATATCTCTCATCTATTACCGCCAAATATTTGGAGTATGGTGTTGGGTCAAATTCCTCCAAATATTGAAGCAAGGCAGGATCGGATGTTTTGGGGCCCTCTACGGATGGCTCCTTCTTAGTTAAATTTGCATATTTAGTAGTTTCTCATCACTGAGGTACTCATCCTTCAGGTAATCATCCATTTCCTTTATTTAAAGCTATTGGCATTGGCGAGGCCCAGAAAGAATCAGAGTTCACCTTTGGCGTGTAGCGAGAAATAGCTTGATGACGAATGCTACACATGCTCATAGAGGACTCTCCCTTAATGCCATATGTCCTATTTGTTTAATTGAGGTGGAGGATTCACTACATGCCCTTCACAACGTTTGCAAAATCCGTGTGGGTCCAAATGGCAAACCATGGAAGCAGGCTCTTATCTCACAACATAGACTTAAACACTTGGCTTTCTCACAACTTATCTAATCAAAATGGACATTCTCCTAATTGGAGTATCCGTTTTGGTATTACACTGGACTCCCTTTGGCATAGAAGAAACAAATTCATGTTTAATAGCACAACAATTTCAACAGATCAATTGGTGGCTGAGATTAATAACCGTGTTAATGCTGTCTTGAAGTCCTACTTTGGGCGTAATTCTTGTCTTATAGATAACACGTTCGCTCCTCATAATAGGTGGCTGCATCCTCCAATGGATTTTCTCAAACTAAATTATGATGGGTCGGTTTCTAGGAGTTGTGGAGCTTCTTGTGCTGGAATATTACATGATTCCTCTAGGGGATTTTTAGCAGCCTTTTATCGGAAGCTTAATTGATGTTCTATCATGCATGTAGAACTTTGGGCCATTCTTCATGGTCTTCGTCTCTTTCGTGATAGAAGGTGCTTTGAATGCAATAGAGGAGCGATTAAAGAAGGTATGTAACATTGCTATGTCTACTCATGTTAAAGATTTGAAAGTAAATTAGGTGTACCATGCCATTATTATATTCAGTTTAGATATTTTGGAGGTATCTACTCTATGTGTTTAAAAAATATTTCTTGGTTTGAATGAACAAGAAATGGGTAGTTCTCTCTTATCTTCATTTATAGATCAACATTTTCTGTATTTTTCTTGGTTGGTTCAAGATTTTGTAACATGCTTTTTTCTGGTATTTGGTGGTATCATATCATATAAGCAGAATAGTAAGAGTGTATTTCCATTAAGCAAACAACTAAGAGGTAGTTTTTTTTTTTCCGATTCAACTTGTCAACTTTCAAATATCATGTGTTGATTAATCAATTGGCTGGTCAGAAAATGGGAAAGCATTTTTTGTAAAAGAATTTAAAAATCTCTTCATTAATTGGGGCATGAAATTGAGCAAGTAATAAAGCTTACTGTTTGA